TTGTTTGGCGGGTCCAGGCTGGGGATTCGAACCCACCACCTTAGGTGTACATGGCTGGCGCCTTAGCCGGTTGAGCTATAGGTGCCGAGCCCAAAATAGAAATTTTAAAGGCTAAATTTTGGAGCTTGCTGCTGGAAATGGAATTTAGCTCTGAGCTTCCCAGCATCCAGTAAACAAAGGGAAACATCTTTGGATGTATCTGTTGTAATCATCACACAAAAGAGTTTCCATGTTTAGGAAGCTAAGATTTCAGCTCTTGCTAGTCTTCTCCAGTGCCATGGGACACTGAGAGGCAGTGGGACGATGGTGAGGCCCCTGAACTGGGAGTTGGAATCCTGAACCCTGAGCTTCTGTCCCTCCACTATGTCATCAGAGTCCCAGGGCAGTCACTTCCACCTCAGAGGAACAGCCCGGTACGTTTTTAGTCATCAGTTCCATTTGGTTCTTCCAGGGCTCTGCCTTGACCTCAGCCTGGTAAGGGGGTCAGGGAAGGAGCCTTTGGGAGTCCCCAGAACGAGAAACGAGCTTCGTGGGGTGATTGTGAGTTTGTAGCCTGGACGGAGGGCAGCCAGCCCTGGTCACTGGTGTCTCTTCCAGGTGGACAGGTTCCTGTATCACATGCGGCTCTCTGATGAGACCCTTTTGGACGTCATGGCACGGTTCCAAGCTGAGATGGAGAGGGGCCTGGCCAAGGACACCAACCCCACAGCCTCAGTGAAGATGCTGCCAACCTTTGTCAGGGCCATCCCTGATGGCTCAGGTGAGTGGGGCCAGGCTGCCTGGGACACTGACTGTTCCCTCTCCAGTTCCTCTCTCTGATAGGTCCCCTAAGTGTCTAAGTTCAGTCCTGTGCCTTGGCTCATCTTGTGAGCCCTCTCTCCCCGCCATGCTCCAGTCTCTCTCAATACCACCAGTTCACAGACCAAGGCGCCTTGTCCTCTCTCTGCCTGTCTTGACCTCGCACATTCTGCTCACTCTCCCACCGGAGAGTCCCATCATTCTTCCCCTGGGGAGCCCAGGCAGCTGTTACCTCTTAGCGTCAATTCCTCAAGATCACTGCCTCCTCTTGGGAAGCATCCCTACGCTGGGCTAGAGGCTTGTTAGAGCACTTGTCTCCCTGCCGTGTGTGAGAGTCCCCACTGGATCAACAGCTCCATGAGGCCAGGGTCTTACTCACCACAGCATCCTGAGCAACTAGCACAGTGCTAGGCATATACTAGGCCTCAGAATATTTATTGAATGAATTCACTCCTAGATGTCTAGATTCTAGGCCATAGATAGTAAGTAATGGAAGGAAGCATGAAGTAGTTGAAATAATATTAAATAATAATTTGAGAAACCTGTATTTGATGGCAGCTCTGTCCCTCCTCAGTGACCTTAGGCAAGTGTCCAGCCTTACTTTCTCCATCTGTAAGATGAGAGCTGCCCTATGTGTTAGTTTCCTGTTGCTGCTGTACCACAAATTTAGCAGCTTAAAGTGACACAAATTTATTCTCTTACAGTTCTGAAGTTTCATATGGATCTCACTGGGCTAAAATCAAGGAGTTGGCAGGGCTGTGCTCCTTCTGGAGGCTTCAGGGGAGAATGTTTTCTTGACCTTTCCAGCTTCTAGAAGCCACCTACTTTCCTCAGCTCGTGTGTCTTTCTGTGTTCAACGCCAGCAGTGTGGCGTCCTCAAGACTCTCTGACCCTCTTCCACACGGAAAGACCCTGTGATTATATTAGGCACGCTGGGCTAATCCAGGATAATCTCCCAACCTCAAGGTCAGCTGATGGGCGATTTTGACTCTATCTGTAACCTTAATTCTCCTTTGCTATATATCCTGACATGCTCATAGGATCTGGGGATTAGGAGATGTATATCTTTGGGCAAGGGGCGAGGGCATTATCTTGCTCACTGTAGCCCAGAGCTCTCTAGAAGGTACCTATGAGGTCCCGGCCAGCTCTTCCATTCTTAGCCCATGAACAGAGCTATAAGAAGGAAAGGAACAGATATTTACTGAGCACCTCCTGTAGTCAGGGTGTGTAAGAGACTCACTGTGTCACTGACTCCCCTAAGAACTCTGGGGTATAGCCATTATCCCCAGGTCAGATAGAGTACCAAGGAACAATGGGCTTCCCAATGTCAAGGTCAGGGTCCCAGTGTGTGAACCAAGCACCTGGAAGAGCCTTAGGGCCCTTGAAGGATCAGGGACTGAAGCTTGGGGCGCTCTCAGTGAGGGTGGGGTGGTTATGATTGGATTAGCTGGACCCCTCCGGAGAAATGCCTGGGACAAAGGAGGTTGACTCTGCTGATTGAGAGGCCCCTGGGATACTGAGGAAAAAGGCCTGTTCTCTCGCTGGTACATGGGTGCATAGAGTGGCCAGTGTACCAGCCTGGGGGAGCATAGCTTTGGAGAGAGACAGCCCTATTTGAAATGACAGTGCTGAATAGACTGTGGTCCTTGGCAAGTCATCTAAGGCCATTTGGAGGAAGCACCTGAGTCATGAGGGTGTGTGGAGGATCGGGAACTCAGGGCTAAGTCCTCCTGACTTCCTGTGCTCCGGCCCCTCCTCTAGATATGGACGAGGTGTGTCCCCAGAATCAAGGGAAAGTGACATTTGAAGGTCTGGAGGCCGTGAGGCAGGAGGTGTCTTCCTGACCCTGGATACTTTAGCAGATTTGGAAGTGAAACTAAGTTTTAGAAATATTCTTCCCTGTTAGGCTCAGAGACGCAAACCTTTCTTCACTGCTTCCTCAGAACCTCTCATCACATAATACATTTCACCGGAGATTCTGTTGTGGCAAGGTCCTTTATCAGGCCCAGAGGCCCTCATAAGCCAGGTGCCCTTGGTAAATCCCAGGACCATGGCATGGTTGTTAGGATCCAGTAAGGTCATGTGGATGGAGTGCTTTAAAATCTCTCAAATGTTGGCTTGGCGCCTGTGGCTCAAGTGGCTAAGGCGCCAGCCACATACACCTAAGGTTGAGGGTTCGAATCCAGCCCGAGCCTGCCAAAACAACAATGATGGCTGCAACCAAAAAATAGCCGGGCGTTGTGGTGGGTGCCTGTGGTCCCAGCTACTTGGGAGGCTGAGGTAGGAGAATCGCTTGAGCCCAGAAGTTGGAGGTTGCTGTGAGCTCTGATGCCACAGCACTCTACCCAGGGCGACAGCTTGAGGCTCTGTCTCAAAAAAAAAAAAAATCTCTCAAATGTTGAGGCTGGGCATGGTGGCTCACGCCTATAATCCCAGCACTTTGGGAAGTGAAGGCAAGTGGATCTTCTGAGTTCAGAAGTTTAAGACTAGCCTGAGCAAGAAGGAGACCTTATCTCTAAAAATATCCGGTCATTGTGGCAGGCACCTGTAGTCCCAGTACTTGGGAGGCTGAGGCAAGAGAATTGCTTGAGCCCAAGAATTTGATATTGCTGTGAGCTATGAAGCCATGGCACTCAACCCCAGGGCAAAGAGTAAGACTCTGTCTCCAATAATAATAATAATAATAATGATAATGATGGTGATAATAATCTCTCAAATGTTGTCCAAAGTCCTTCATAGCTCTTGTGAACTGGTAGTATGATTTCATGATTACTAATAAGACCAAACAAATAAATCTCTCCTGATCCCTTGTGACCTTCGTTTTAGAAATGTCTGCAGTTTCCAGTGAAATCATCTAAGTTTCCCTGCTCTCTATAGTTTCTCTTCCCTTTGCCTGCACCTACCTGGCAGGGAGTGACCTGTTGGAGCCTTGGTTACTTCCCCGCCTCTGGCAGGGGGATGTGCTTGATAGTTCTCACTTAGGGTCAAGGTCTGTACAAGTGCTGTGTTAACAGTGGAGCCTCTATGAGTCACGGAGGGAAGTGAGAAGGGGACTAGGATTCTTTGCTCTGACCCAGCGGGTTCTCTTCTTGGTCTCTGCCTCCAGGCAGAGGCCTTGGGGGTGAGCCCAGGAGCCCTGCAGTACTCAGCCCAGGAGTCTTGCACAGGGATAGAGTTCCATTTCGCTTGAGCATATGGTTCACCTAGAGCATTTCCTAAACACGAGGTTTCCCAGCCTCTCCCAGTGGAGACTGAGTGTGCAGGAACCTACCTAATCATCACTGTGCACCTTGGGGAGACACTGCACTGGGGGTGGGGGAGGAGCAGAGGCACATGCCCTGGCAGTGGCTTAGAAAAGGAAACCCTGGGCGTTCCAGGCAGGTCACTGAGACTCATCGCAGCAAGCATTTTACCAAAGGAATCTCCTTCTTTGGGGAGGCCGATTTCTAATAATTACTATCTAAACCAGGGGTCCTCAAACTTTTTAAACAGGGGGCCAGTTCACTGTCCCTCAGACTGTTAGAGGGCTGGACTACGGGCCCCGGGATGAGTCGGCTGCTAAGCAGGATAGGCAGTGGCGGCAAAAACATCCGGCTGGCCAGATAAATGTCCCAGGTGTGGCCCGCGGGCCGTAGTTTGAGGACGTCTGATCTAAACCCTGAAGGCCCCACTGTTGCTATTGTTGTCTGGGCAGGTCCTCCCTGCCCCAGCATCCATGGGATCCTTTCTCCGGGTCAGAGTCACAGAAGGAATCACACCACATGGTTTTCATGGACTGGCATCTTGAGTCACCAGCAGATCGAGGTGTTTGCACAGTGATAACAGTGGGGTGGTGGAAGGGAGTGCCCCCATAGACACTGGCCAGGGCTTAGCAACACTGCCTATAGTTTGGATTGCAGAATAGCAGCCTCCTCTGTTGCCAAACTTTTGGTCTATCCTGGTTGGTGCCAGAAGCGTTTATTTTTGAAATCTCAATCAGATCTTGGTGCTCCCTTGCATAGAATCTGTCTGTGGCTCCCTCTTACCTCTGATTGAAGCCTGAGGTCCTTGGGGTGGGCCGGCTTTTCCTAATCCTTGCTAATTTCTCCTGACACTGCCTTCCAGCCTCATTTCTGCCACAGCAAAAGCGCACACCACCGTACTCTCTCATCCCTTTACCCACGGTCTAGCAGTGTAATTCCTTCTCAACCCTAGTGCTCAGCTCTCTATCATCGATGGGGCCAGCTGCCTTGACTCCCATCTCTGATGTGGCTATCTCTGCCTGTGCTTCCTGCCATCTGAACCCACATGAAAATGGCTTACTCGGGGGCCTGTACTTCTGACTGACCCTCCAGGGAGCACACACACAATCTTTCACCTTTGCAACCCCCTCGCCTGACATGTTAATTGACGCAGAGTAAGTGCTCAGTGAATGTCCTCGGGTCATGTGATCTACCCTAGTTCCTGCACGTGACAACATTTAGGAAAGCGCCTCTCACCTGGCACATGGTAAGCGCTGGTAAAAGTTGCACAGGATTAGATGTCTGAACTCCCTCGCCAAAAGATAAATGACTATCAGGCTCCTTTTGGAGCTGATCTGGGGTGATAAGAATCTCCAGATGTCTCCAGGAACACAAAAAATGGAGCTGGCGGGGTCTGTAAATGAGGATGCTACGCCTTTGCTGCCCGCCCGACCTGTGGTGCACAGACCTGTAGCAGCAGCAGCAGCACTTGGACAGTGTTTTCCAACCTTTTCAATTTCATAGCACACTTAAATTATGTTGATCAAAAAATTAAAAAGAGTAGAGAAAAAGAATATACTTACTGTGCTATGAATTTCTTTTAAAAATAATTTAATTATCTTTAAAATTATTTTATAGCACACATAAGATCCTCTGACAGTATACCGGTTGAAAATCACTGACCTGGGAGCTTGTTTATTTTATTATTATTATTTTTTCAAGACAGAGTCTCACTATGTCA